GGAGAGAGATGGCTGAGGGGAGGACTTGCCACTCAGTGACAGTGGTCAAAGATACTTGGAGGGATTCTGGTCTCTCGGTTGAAGATGACCCTCTGCTTTGGGCATCAGAAACCAGAGTCCATGACCTGGCTTACCATAACTTTGTTAAACTGACTGTGTCACTGAATACTGATGAAGAAGAGGAGCAGGAAATCTTATCTTCGGACACGCTAGCTGACATACTGACTCCCTGAGCTAAACTCATTGATGCTAAAGAAGGCACAAGGCTAGGATGCAGGAGATGCTTCACAGACTCCTCTGCAACCAGCTGAACCAGCTCGTAAACTGTGGGATTCCCCACCTTTTTGTCCTTTCTCTTCAGCTTAGTAAAGACTGTATCGAATGCAATCTTTCGAGCCGCCACTGTCAATACCAGAGGGGCAAAATTGCTGTCAGAAATGATGAGGATGACTTGGTGAGTTGATTTGCATTTTAATGAGGGAAATAAGTATTTGACCCCCTCTCAATCAGAAAGATTTCTGGCTCCCAGGTATCTTTTATACAGGTAACGAGCTGAGATTAGGAGCACACTTTTAAAGGGAGTGCTCCTAATCTCAGTTTGTTACCTGTATAAAAGACACTTGTCCACAGAAGCAATCAATCAATCAGATTCCAAACTCTCCACCATGGCCAAGACCAAAGAGCTCTCCAAGGATGTCAGGGACAAGATTGTAGACCTACACAATGCTGGAATGGGCTACAAGACCATCACCAAGCAGCTTGGTGAGAAGGTGACAACAGTTGGTGCGATTATTCGCAAATAGAAGAAACACAAAAGACCTGTCAATCTCCCTCGACCTGGGGCTCCATGCAAGATCTCATCTCGTGGAGTTGCAATGATCATGAGAACGGTGAGGAATCAGCCCAGAACTACATGGGAGGATCTTGTCAATGATCTCAAGGCAGCTGGGACCATAGTCACCAAGAAAACAATTGGTAACACACTACGCCGTGAAGGACTGAAATCCTGCAGCGCCCGCAAGGTTCCCCTGCTCAAGAAAGCACATATACAGGGCCGTCTGAAGTTTGCCAATGAACATCTGAATGATTCAGAGGAGAACTGGGTGAAAGTGTTGTGGTCAGATGAGACCAAAATCGAGCTCTTTGGCATCAACTCAACTTGCCGTGTTTGGAGGAGGAGGAATGCTGCCTATGACCCCAAGAACACCATCCCCACCGTCAAGCATGGAGGTGGAAACATTATGCTTTGGGGGTGTTTTTCTGCTAAGGGGACAGGACAACTTCACCGCATCAAAGGGACGATGGACGGGGCCATTACTTTCAAATCTTGGGTGAGAACCTCCTTCCCTCAGCCAGGGCATTGAAAATGGGTCGTGGATGGGTATTCCAGCATGACAATGACCCAAAACACACGGCTTAAGGTTAATTAAGGTCCTGGAGTGGCCTAGCCAGTCTCCAGACCTTAATCCCATAGAAAATCTGTGGAGGGAGCTGAAGGTTTGAGTTGCCAAACGTCAGCCTCGAAACCTTAATGACTTGGAGAATATCTGCAAAGAGGAGTGGAACAAAATCCCTCCTGAGATGTGTGCAAACCTGGTGGCCAACTACAAGAAACGTCTGACCTCTGTGATTGCCAACAAGGGTTTTGCCACCAAGTACTAAGTCATGTTTTGCAGAGGGGTCAAATACTTATTTCCCTAATTAAAATGCAAATCAATTCATAACATTTTTGACATGCGTTTTTCTGTATTTTGTTGTTGTTATTCTGTCTCTCACTGTTCAAATAAACCTACCATTAAAATTATAGACTGATCATGTCTTTGTCAGTGGGCAAACGTACAAAATCAGCAGGGGATCAAATACTTTTTTCCCCTCACTGTATACAGGCCCGTCTGAAGTTAGCTAGTCTCCTGACCTTAATCCCATAGAACATCTGTGGAGGGAGCTGAAGGTTCGAGTTGCCAAACGTCAGCCTCGAAACCTTAATGACTTGGAGAAGATCTGCAAAGAGGAGTGGGACAAAATCCCTCCTGAGGTGTGCAAACCTGGTGGCCAACTACAAGAAACGTCTGACCTCTGTGATTGCCAACAAGGGTTTTGCCACCAAGTACTAAGTCATGTTTTGCAGAGGGGTCAAATACTTATTTCTCTCATTAAAATGCAAATCAATTTATAACATCTGGATTTTTTAGTTGTTATTCTGTCTCTCACTGTTCAAATAAACCTACCATTAAAATTATAGACTGATCATGTCTTTGTCAGTGGGCAAATGTACAAAATCAGCAGGGGATCAAATACTTTTTTCCCCTCACTGTATGTATTAAAAATAAAAAACTTTAATATTACATTTACATAAGTATTCAGACCCTTTACTGAGTACTTTGTTGAAGCAGCCTCAAGTATTCTTGGGTATGACGCACCCATTTTTCTCTGCAGATCCTCTCAAGCTCTGACAGGTTGGATGGGAAGCGTCGCTGCACAGCTATTTTCAGGTCTCTCCAGAGATGTTCGAACAGGTTCAAGTCCGGGCTCTGGCAGGGCCACTCAAGGACATTCAGAGACTTGTCCTGAAGCCACTCCTGCGTTGTCTTGGCTGTGTGCTTAGGGTAATTGTCCTGTTGGAAGGTGAACCTTCGCTCCAGTCTGAGGTCCTGAGCACTCTGGAGCAGGTTTTCATCAAGGATCTCTCTGTACTTTGCTCCGTTCATCTTTCCCTCGATTCTGACTAGTCTCCCAGTCCCTGCCGCTGAAAAGCATCCCCACAGCATGATGCTGACACCACCATGGTTCACCATAGGGATGGTGCCAGGTTTCCTCCAGATGTGGCACTTGGTGTTCAGGCCAAATAATTCAATATTGGTTTCATCAGACCAGAGAATCTTGTTTCTCATGATCTGAGAGTCCTTTAGGTGCCTTTTGGCAAACTCCAAGCGGGCTGTCATGTGCCTTTTACTGAGGAGTGGCTTCCGTCTGGCCACTCTACCATAAAGTCCTGATTGGTGGAGTGCTGCAGAGATGGTTGTCCTTCTGGAAGGTTCTCCCATCTCCACAGAGGAACTCTGGAGCTCTGTCAGAGTGAACATCGGGTTTTTGGTCACCTCCCTGATCAAGGCCCTTCTCCCCTGATTGCTCAGTTTGGCCGGGCGGCCAGCTCTAGGAAGAGTCTTGGTGGTTCCAAACTTCTTCCATTTAAGAATGATGGAGGCCACTGTGTTCTTCGGGACCTTCAATGATGCAGACATTTTTTGGTACCCTTCCCCAGATCTGTGCCTCGACACAATCCTGCCTCGGAGCTCTACAGACAATTCCTTCGACCTCATGTCTTGGTTTTTGTTCTGACATGCACTGTCAACTGTGGGACCTTATATAGACAGGTGTGTGCCTTTCCAAATCATGTCCAATCAATTGAATTTACCACAGGTGGACTCTAATCAAGTTGTAGTATCCTCTCAAGGATGATCAATGGAAACAGGATGCACCAGAACTCAATTTCAAGTCTCATAGCAAAGGGTCTGAATATTTATGTAAATAAGGTATTTCTGTTTTATATTTGTAACATATTTGCTAAAATTTCTAAAAACCTGTTTCCGCTTTGTTATTATGGGATATTGTGTGTAGATTGATGAGGACATTTTTTTTTTAAATCAGTTTTAGAATAAGGCTGTAACGTAACAACATTTGGAAAAAGTCAAGGGGTCTGAATACTTTCCCGAATTCACGATAGCCTATGCCGCCCTATTGTGGATTTATTTTGGTAAAACATGTACGATCCACTTTTCCCTCATCAATGTCTTACGCTTTGAATCAGTCATCATCATTTACTGCGAACCCAAAAGCTTTGGACAGCTTTTTCCAAACCAGCTTTTCAATCAAATCTGATTATCACCAGCACACCACCAGAACACATGCATTTAGGCTACCATATTTTTCAGCATATCTTTTGTAAGCTTAAACTCATTGGGTAGGCTGCAATAAACATTTTTCACTTAAAGTAACGGGGTAGGGCAGGCTATCCAGATAAACAAATACATTAATAGGCCTACGCTTAATTGCAGTACATAGGCACATTTCTTATTACAGCTTTACTATGTTGGTGACTTTGGCATCACAGACACACCAGCTGTATCCACGTGAAATTCAAGGATAAATCTGAGATAGTCTATCATCTCTTTCTTTTTTCCTTACAGACACAGCTGCCTAGACCCATAGTTTGATATTGATGGGCACATGACTGCAAACTTTTTTTAAAGTATTTGATCGAAATTGTTTTCTTTTAATATCAGAATTTTCAATCAGTCTTCAAAATTAAAACGAAGATGATTTAATATAGGAGCGGAAGTCTCGCATATAGTCTATCCACTAGATGGCAGCATGACTCTGTTTGACTGGGCAAGTCTGTGACAAATAAGCAACACATTGTTGCAAAAATACTAGGCTGTTTACAATTCGGTCTACTTCCATCTTATTATCGCATAGTCAAATGGCAAAATAAATGTTAGGCTACATTAAGTAGGCCGGCGTGTCTGATTTAACTTTCAGGGATTTTTGTACCTACATTGTAGCCTAAACATGACAAAAAACCGTTTGCGGTAGATATGCCTAGGCCAGATAGCGCTCTGAATGTGGGAAACAAATGGAAAATTACAATATTCTTGACTTGTTTACAGTGCAAACCTACGACTAGGCCTAAATAGTGTCTAAAGGTCAGATCGTGGGGATTCCAATCACCACTGTCCGTGGTGCTGAATCCTGTTTGCAAGCACTTGTTTGTTTACTGTCTGTGCTACTATTCTTCACATGGCATAGACACCACAAAACACACACACACACTTTTTTCCTATAATGGCTTAACCCTGTGAGACCCACTGTTGCAACTAAGCAACATTTCTTAAATTAATTGCATCCAATACAGGTTCTAAACTCAAAAATAATATAAGAAAATAATTAGTTCATACATCTCCTTAGACCCAGTTGTATCTTTTCAGATGAATGTTTATTTTTAAGCATCAAATGTAGCGTACAGTAGACTACATGTTACACTCAGACAATTCATTTCCACAATGAGCTCACCACAACTCAGCATCACAGTTTGGAGGTGTGTCTTGTGGAAGTCGGACGTCCCCAGAGTCTTAGTCTGCTGACCCCTCCATCTGGGGCGATGACTAGACGCACATGACTGACCGGCCCAGACAGCGGCAGCGAGTCACATGAGTAAATGTGCCTGTGATGGGCCTCGAGCTAGAACAGACAGAAAACGGTTCTCACCAAACTGATGTGTTTTACTGTTGCAGTTTGGAATGGTTATTATCATCACTGGTTGTAGGTTATGAGTTGTTTTGGTACTTAAGCAGAATTCTGATGCAATTGCATGAGGAAAAAAATTAGTTGGATGGACTGTTGACTTGGCAGATATTTCACTTCACAGAAACTTGGGCACATTAAAGAATGTGTGAAGCACAACACATGTCACAGATGAGAGATATCCTTACATCCTTACAAGACCTGATTTAGTTATTATACATGTACATTCAATATTGTTTACCTAACTAATAGGTTTTGAAACACACACATTTGAATTTCTCCCCATTTGTTCTGGAATATGGACATTTAAACACTAAATTGATTAAAATGTTGAAAAACACTTCCTGGATGAAAATGTACAGATGAAGTCTCAGCAGGAGTGCTGATCTAGGATCAGGGCAACCTATGTCAATGTGATCTTATTCATTCTGATCTAAAAGGCAAAACAGATCCTAGATCAGCACTCAGACGGTCCCAGGCATTGGATCAAATGGAGTGAATTATAGATAAAATGATTGACATACTTTCTGAGGGTGCAGAAGCACCCGCCATTTGTTTCCCGGATCGCTGCTCCACCTGCCACTCACATACTTCCCCTCCTCCTCGGGGGTCAGATAGCACGCTTCCATCTTACAGGAGTCTGGGAAGTTTCCTGCGTGTTGACATCACATGACACAGTAAGAGAAACACAAGAGCTCTGTCTGGTGGGATGACTTACATCTCAGTAGACTGTACAGTGGACTGCCTTATTTACAACAGAGGCGAAAGATGTGGATGTCTCCATTATAATAGCTTGTAATCTAACCTGTTACACTGTCATAACTAGAGAAAGGGAATACCTAGTAGTCAGTTGCACAGCTGAATGCATTCAACCGAAATGTGTCTTCTGCATTTAACCCAACCCCTCTGAATCAGAGAGGTGCAGTGGGCTTCCTTAATCGATGTCCACATCATTGGCGCTCGGGGAGCAGTTGTTGTTGCCGGTTAATTACCTTGCTCAAGGGCAGAACGGCCAATGTTTCCCACCTTGCCGGCTCGGGGTTTCAAACCAGTGACCTTTCGGTTACAGGCGCAACGCTCTTAACCACTAGGCTACCTGCCCTAATCCTAACTGTAGTAACCAAGCCTTTAACATTGGAACTTTGCAGTGCTTCAGTGGGGTGAAAGAGAGTGCAGAGAACAGAGACTGGAACAGACAGAATGTGTGTGTGTGTGTGTGTGTGTGTGTGTGTCTTACTCTACCTTTGAAGTGGTTGGTGTCTATCTCAATTTGGCTGATGACTCCGGGATGCCCCAGTCTGAGAACGGCCCACTCATAACCTGGTACCTGTAGGATGCCCTTCCCATCCACCTATGGAGCACAGTATCATGTCACCAGATGATACAACAGGGTTGTGTTCAGCAGGGAGGACATTTTTCAAATAGAGTGAAACAGGGAGGTACTACCTGAACTTGCCCAATAACAACACAGATTTTCTGTAGCAAACATTTAAAAAGGTTCTACTATGTGTCCTACTGAACACGACCCAGTGCTACAGCATGTGCCAAACTTTATTCTTTACTGTTGAGGAAGAGCGGCAAGTAAACATTTCACTCTACCGTTTAAACTTCCTATATCCTGTACATGTGACAAATAAACTTTGATTTGAAGTTACCTGTAGGTTTTTGGGTCTGTCTAGTCGACGGGCTGTCTCCCATCCATCAGCCATGTTTGCAGATCTTCCCAAACCTACAAGGGTATGGCGTATCCCGGTCAACCCAGTCTATAGACTTGTCTCTTTTTGATATGTTCATTACCAATGGTATGCACTACCAATGAGATTCTGGACCATTGCCAATATTGACATCTTCATTAAAACATGTCACAGGCCTGACAGTAATTTTCATGTATATATTAAGGAACACCTAACTATACAAGACTCACACTACTTCTTTCGACAACAACAACAATTACAAGTCCCAAAGGTACAGCATGAGGTTGGAGTAAGATCTTTCAGCTACAAAGACCCAACTGACTGGAACAAGTTACTAAATAGATTAATAATGTCTGCACTTCATTAGTTAAAGATATGGACACAGCTTCTTGAAAGAATTCTGTCTTTGTTATACAGTATTTTCAAATCAATAGTGCTAAAATAAATGTTTCCCTATTTGTTTGTACTTTATATTCCAGTGCTATCTGTACTGAAGTGATTGATTCCTTAATCAGTATGATGAAAGAAGCCCCATTGTAATGTTCGCAGACTGAAAGCATTGGCATACCAATCATATTCCGTGGGTGGCCAAAGTGGGCATCGCTGTAGCCCAGACAGACCCCACCATTGACCAGCGCCACCAGGTCCACCTGGTCCTGTGTGGGCATGGCAGACCAGTCTTTCTGCCCAACGCCATAGACCTTCAGTCTAGCAATCCCCCCATCTGTAACACAAGCATAAATACAGATCCTTTATCAGGAATATTGATGAGCAATTATGTAACCAATAGTGGAGAGAGTATCTGATATGGAGGTGTTACCTGGGTACATGTTGAGTCGCAGGTGGGTGACTCTGCTGGGGTAGGTGATTGGGAAGTAGTTATGACAGGTGTCGGAGTATCCAGGTTTCAGATCTGTCACAGGAACAAGCTCCTCCCACGACTCAGAGTGCAACTGTCAAACACAGTTGATCATTGATTTTCTCCAGTGTGTGTGTGTGTGTGTGTGTGTGTGTGTGTGTGTGTGTACAGTATCAGTGTAAACAGTGTGCACAATGGTTGTACCTTAGCAACTGCTTCAAACTGACTCTCGGAAGCAGCCATGCCAGTGCGGTCTCCCTCCAGGGTCAATGCTGGGGCCTCCTCTGATCAGACAGAACACAGAAACATACATGACTTTAGCCACATGTAAGTGTAACAGCATTCCTTCCATCCCTCTCCTCTCCCCAACCTGGGCTTGAACCAGGGACCCTCTACACACATTGACAACAGTCACGCTCTAAGCATCGTTACCTATCGGTCAACAAATGTTACAGAAAATCTGTGTTCTTATTGGACAAGTTCAGGTAGTACCTCCCTGTTTCACTCTATTTAAAAAACAACTCCTTCAAGGTATCAGAGCAAGTGACGTCACCGACTGAAACGCTACTAGTGGACACCACTAACTAGCTAGCCATTTCACACCGGTTACTTAAACAAGAGGCTGGCAACTCTTATTAACTTATCCTCTGCAGCAGAGGTAACTCTGGGTCTTCAATTCCTGTGGCGGTCCTCATGAGAGCCACTTTCATCAAAGCGCTTGATGGTTTTTGCGACTACACTTTAAGAAACTTTCAAAGTTCTTGAAATGTTCCGTATTGACTGACCTTCATGTCTTAAAGTAATGATGGACTGTCGTTTCTCTTTGCTTATTTAAGCTGTTCCTGCCATAATATGGACTTGGTCTTTTACCAAATAGGGCTATCTTCTCTATACCCCCCCTACCTTGTCACAACACAACTGATTGGCTCAAACACATTAAGAAGGACAGAAATTCCACAAATTAACTTTTAAGAAGGCACACCTGTTAATTGAAATGCATTACAGGTGACTACCTCATGAAGCTGGTTGAGAGAATGCCAAGAGTGTGCAAAGCTGTCATCAAGGCAAAGGGTGGCTATTTGAATAATCTCAAATATAATATATATTTTGATTTGTTTAACACTTTTCTGGTTACTACATGATGTGTTATTTCATAGTTTTGATGTCTTCACTATTATTCTACAATGTAGAAAATAGTAAAACATAAAGAAATCTTTGACTGGTACTGTATGTGAAAACACCCTATGGATCTTTCTAACTTTTACCATGAGGTATTAGATAGAGTCTAAATCTATATGGCTGCATTTACACAGACAACCTGCTATTTTCTCAAATTATTGGCAAAAGAGCTGGTCTGATTGGTCAAGAAGACCAATTAGTGGAAAAAGATCAGAATGTGGCTGCCTGTGTAAACACAGCCTGTTACACAGTCATCCATACCCAGACATGCAGCCTGAAGAGAGGCAGAGGGCGAGTAGTTTCCAGTAAAGAAGGATGTGTCCACATCCAGGCCATGTATGATGCCAGGTACACCCAGCTGGATGATGCACCAGTCATGACCTAGCAGAGATAGCAGACAAGATCAAGCTTCTGTATACCTATTCAGATTAGCCTATCTATGTTAATTCAATTTTCCCATAATTGAAATGATTATAATTTTGTGTCTCTTCAAGTCATACCAGGTATTCTTTTCCTTCTTGTCTCCCAGCCATCCATCCATTTTCCGTACTCAGTGAATGCAGACGCTATGAACTCTGGTGGCTCTCTCTTCCAACCACATGCAGTGAACAAAGGGAGAGGGTGGGAGATGTGAATGGCAGTGAATCAACAGATGACAGTGAATTAGTAATGTAAGTATGCACTGTACCTTCAAAAGATTGCTAGCTGGCGCAAACCATTCGTCTGTAGCAAAAATAACCTACAATGATAGTGAGCACATAAACAGATGAACATTGTCTCATATTGTGTTATTTACAGTTATCAAAATGTCAATCTTGTGTCCATGGTGTAACACTTACTTTTCCTCCAGCTGTCTCACAGGCCAGGTTATTAAACTGCAGAAAGTCCGGTTGACCACTTACCATTTTCACTGCTTTTCGGTCTGCCATGTTTTCTATTGCAGACTATAATTTACAATCCCTACATGTAACTCAATCCAGAATGAGAAAAATATCTTCCCATTTACCTCATACAGTAAGATAAATCTGATTTATATATTGGAGCTTCCTGTACTTCAAGTTCAAAGGTAGTCCACCACCACTAATGAATAGATTCTTCTGGTGCTGGCTTTTTTTCTACCAATCCACCAGGGCAAAGTCCAGTGACTGGGAAGTCATTGACAGCAGTGTTATGTTAAAAACGAGATAGGTGGTGGGGGAATGCTCAATATCTGTTCAAAATAGTTGTGCTCTGACTTTCTTTTGTAGGAAGAAAGCGAAAGCACCTTGTACAACCACAAGGGGATTCTATTAAACTGTCCCAAGGTGCATTGGGCTATGGTCCGTCATGTGAGGGAAGCACCATGATCCGTCGTTCAGAAACATACATCTCTTTCCATAAAGTATATGTTCGCATTTACTAACTAGTTTTCATTGGGAAGTCAGATAAAGTGTTTTTATCAAAAGCAATCACTTTTGCATGTAAAAACAGAATCCTATTCATTACCTCCACGTGCTTAACCTAGTGTCACTTTTGTTTTGAGCTGACTTTGCCGTCGGCCAGAGAGGTTCCAAAACGAATGCAATCATATTTCAACCATTATGCTTCCAGTATAACCGTCTTACCACATCATACCCCAACACATATGGCTGTGTTACTCCATGGTTCTATTTTAATAATTCCTCAAGGGTTAGGTTTAGCATGCAAAAGTCAATGTTGACTGTTGTGCGCGACAGCCTAAATTGGACACATTTCCTAGTATAGTGTACCGAATGGTGGATTTCTACATACAGGTAGTGGGCCGAAACCTTAAAACGGGTTTAGTTGGTCAATCCATGTCGAGGGAGGAGCTATTTTTCTGTATATGCCAGTAAAATATTATTCTGATGACTATAACATTTCTTGGCATCTTCAATTCTTGCACATTTTCTCATAAAAAGTATATTTCAACACTCGGCCCTCTTGTGAAAACACGAGCTGCTGTCTGATGAAAAGAAACAGCTATAGCTAGCTAGTTCCCAGACTGAAATAAGATACATATCTGTTTTGGAGAGCAGTTTAAATATACTGAACAAAAATGTCAACGATTTTACTGAGTTACAGTTCATATAATGAAATCAGTCAATTGAAATAAATTCATTAGACCCTAATCTATGGATTTCACATGACTGGGCAGGAGCGCAGCCAAAGGCCCACCTACTTGGTAGCCAGGCCTAGCCAATCAGAATGAAGTTTATTACACACAGAAATAGGACTTTATTACACACAGAAGTACTTGTTTCATCAGCTGTCCGGGTGGCTGGCAGTGTTGCCAACTTAGCAACTTTGTCGCTATATCTAGCGAGTATTCATACCCCTCTAGCGACACATTTTCAAAAAATCGACTAGCGACAAATCTATCGACTTTCTCTGGTGTTATTGGAGACTTTTGGTGACTCTGACATGAAAGCACGTATCATTCTTACTCTTGGAGGTTCCCCCTCCAAGGTTCCTGAGCCTGTGTAGGGATCTGAATATTTAAATCCGACTGAAGGAGTACCGTTTTTCAGTTTGAAATTCAGGGTAGTAGCGTGAATTTTTTTTTTGTTTTTGGTATTTAGTATGAATTTGTTCATCCAAAACATATTTTGTTTTTGGGGTATTTTTTACTACCTCGTACAGTAGGTGGCGGCAATACACCTTATGAGTGTAGTCTGCCAATAAACTTTGAAGAAGAAGAAGCTTTCTTACATCAACCAATGAGAGTGCCTTAAGTTGTCAGGAAAAGGCTGGCCTACACTTGAGCGCAGTGTTGCCAATTTAGCGACTTTCTCGCTATATTTAGCGAGTTTTCAGACCCCTCTAGCGACACATTTTCAAAAAAGCGACTAGCAACAAATCTAGCGACTTTTTCTGGTGTTATTGGAGACTCTGACGTGAAAGCACGTATCGTTCTTACTCTTCTCAACGAGCAGCGGGTGCTTTGTTACCCCGTCCCAAAGCACTCACAGGCGGCCTAGTCCTCGCGCAGCAGTCCCTCCCAGCTGCAGTCAGAGCAGGAGATGTTCACCCCTCTGCGTCCAGACTGCAAATGAAGCCGCCGCTGGCTGATCCCGCCCTGGCTTACATTCAGGGCAGGATGTAAATGTAAAATGTTCTTTGTCTAAAATAAATCACTGCACAAAAATAAATCACTGCATTTGACTCACACAGCCTCAGTCACTTACTCACCTCGTCCACTGTGTGTGCCTCTCTGTGGCATAATCTAAACATCTAGCTGGCTAGTTCATCATGTCTCAGTCTAAACTGTACACTCAAAAAATACAGAAAGGAGTGGGAATCAAACCCTGAATTCAAAGGCTGGTTGAAGCCATTTATTGGGGATGATACACGGGCATACTGCCTGTATTGTAAGGCTGATTTCTACGTCAAACTTAGTGATGTAAAAAAACACATGACAACTCAAAAACATACTCAAAAGGCAAAGCCTTATAACAGTGCCACCCAAAACAAGCTGCCATTTATGGTTTAAAAAATTGACTCTGCTTAAAAGGCTGAGGCCACCATGGCATTAGCTATCGCTGAACACTGTTCCATGCTGGCATGTGATCACATTGGAGAAGCATGTAGAGCTGCTTTCTCAGACTCCACTGCTGCTACCCACTTCAAAATGCACAGGACAAAGTGCACAGAAATGATTAATGGTGTTCTAGCACCATACTTTCTGAAAAAGTTGGTCGCAGATGTGGGTGACTAGCGTTTCAGCCTCCTCCTCGATGAGCACGGATGTAAGTGTTTCTAAGTACCTGGGGGTTGTGATAAGGTACTTTAGTGACACCAAGCAGACAATTGTAGCAACATTTCTGGGGCATGTTGAGTTGGAGGGAGGAGATGCCAAATCTATAGCCGGTGCTGTTGTGGCATTCCTCGAGAAGTGTGAAACTCCTGGGGATATGGACTGACAATGCCTCTGTTATGACGGGGATTAACAATGGGGTCCATAAAGTGCTGAAGGAGGAGTATGGCCTCAAAGATCTGGTTCTTATTCGCTGTGTGTGCCACTCTCTGCAGCTTGCTGTAAGTCATGCTTCCAATGACACCATCCCCCGTAGTGTGGAGTACTTGGTACGAGAGACTTATAACTGGTTTTCAGTGTCTCCAAAGCGCAGGGAGGCCTACAAGGCCATATATGAGACCATCAACTGTGGAGAGAAACCTTTACAGATAACCAAGGTGTGTGCCACACGTTGGCTCTCCATTGAACCCGCTGTTTCACACATTTTGGACCAGTGGGAGGAGCTTAGGCTGCATTTAGCAGTCACCAAGTCCAGTGAACACTGCTACATGGCTGAGGTTTTATACTCCATGTACAGTGATCCTCAAAACATATTGTATCTGACTTTTTTTAAGTCAGTGCTGGGTGAGGTACAGTTGGCCATCAAGGCTTTTGAGGTAGAGCAAGTAGTTCCTCTTAAGCTACTTGACAGCTTGGTTAGCCTGATCAATTCTGTGAGCAGCAGGGTGCTGAATCCACTGGCAAATGTTGATTAGATTTTAGTCATTTAGCAAACACTCTTATCCAGAGCGACTTACAGGAGCAATTAGGGTTAAGTGCCTTGCTCAAGGGCACATCAACAGATTTTTCACCTAGTCAGCTCAGGGATTAGAACCAGCGACCTTTCGGTTACTGGCACAATGCTCTTAACCACTAAGCTACCTGATGTACTCAAAGGGCCAATAGATGGATACATCAGTCCCAAACCATACCTTGGTTACCTTTTTGAGTCAAAGACAGCTGAGCTCCACCTTGCGCCTGAGGATGAAAAACAATGTCCGAAAGCGGTGTGTAGCCTTCACCATCTCCCTCACTAATGAGTTGAGGGTGAGACTGCCGGACAACATCGAAGCATTGCAGTACATGTCAGTTTTCAATGTGGAGGAAACTCTAAAGCACAATAAGAGCCCTGGAGAAATAGAAAAAATAGCCAAGCTCCTTGGCTACTCCCCTGCAGAGATAGACAAGATTGTCCAGCAGTGGCGTGCCATCCATCTTAGTAAATGGAATGAGACAAAAAACACACTGGGCTTCTGGAGTGAGATTTGGAAGTTCAGGGATGCAGCTGATATCAAGCCGTTTCAAGAACTTGCCATGGCTGCTGTGTCTGTGTTGTCCTTGCCACACTCGAATGCTGAAGTCGAGAGAGTATTCAGCCAGATGAGTGTGGTAAAAAGCAAACTTAGAAATCGGATGTCCTTGCAGACCCTTAACTATGGGATATGGACTGAAGCTGTCTGGTGAGGCTTGCTATGAGCACCAGCTGCCTGATAATGTTTTGCAGCTTTTTGGCACATCAGCTGCTTACTCATTTAAGTCAGCTCCCTCAGTTGTTGAACATGCCACAGAGAGCCTTGAACCAAAATGACGATGACCCACTCTTTCTGTGAGCCAGCACAGCCTGTGTGTGTGTGGAGGGGGGTCATTTTTTTAAACCCTGAATTAGGGCCAGACTAGTTACCATCATTTTCTCACATTGCCATTGACAGTTTTTTTCTATTGTCTCTTTTTGGTCCATTTAGATTGTTAATACAAAAAAAATGTTAAAAAGTTATGGTTAAAAATGTTCATGTTTTACTGTGACTTGTTGTAGGCTCCTAAGTGGACCATAAGGTTAAAAACTAAACCAAACTAAAGAAAACTCAAATTAAAAAACAAACAAAATAATAAAATAAAAATACGAAGTAACTTCGCCAGTCTCTTTTGGGTCACTTTTGCCGGTCCCAAGCCCAGATAAAGGAGGGTTGGAATTGTGACATTAAAAACGTCCCGTGTAGCTCAGTTGGTAGAGCATGGTGTTTGCAACGCCAGGGTTGTGGGTTTGATTCCCACGGGGGGCCAGTATGAAAATGTATGCACTCTCTAACTGTAAGTCGCTCTGAATAATAGTGTCTGCTAAATGACTAAAATGTAAAAAAAACAAGAATCAACAGAAGAAAGTTCATTTGTAGTTCTAAACATATTTAGGGTGTTTTTTACTCACTTTTTGTCTCTCCTACAGCGTCCATCACAATTTCATGCACATGGCCAATTATGCAAATTAGGTGATGACGTCTTTAGCGACTTCTAGCAACTTTTAGGACAGCCAATAGCTACTTTCCTTACTGAGGAGTTGGCAACACTGGTGGCTGGTCTCAGACGATCGTGCAGGTGAAGAAGCCAGATGTGTAGGTCCTGGGCTGGCGTGGTTACACGTGGTCTGCAGTTGTGAGGCCGGTTGGACGTACTGCCAAATTCTCTAAAACGACGTTTGAGGCAGCTTATGGTAGCGAAATGAACATTCTATTCTCTGGCAACAGCTCTGATGGATATTTCTGCAGTCAACATGCCAATTGCATGCTCCCGCAAAACCTGACACGTCTATGGCATTGTGAATAAACTGCACATTTTAGTGGCCTTTTATTGTCCCCAGCACAAGGTGCACCTATTTAATCGTGCTGTTAATCAGCTTCTTGATATGCCACACCTGTCAAGTGGATGGATTATCTTGGCAAAGGAGAAATGTTCACTAGCAGAGATGTAAACCAATTTGTGCAAAACATTTTAGAGAAATACACTTTTTGTATGTATGGAAAAATTCAGGGATCTTTTATTTCAGCTCATGAAACACGGGGCCAACACTTTACATGTTGTGTTTATATTTTTGTTCAGTATATATATATTATGCAGCATGCATACTGTAACTCCATTGACCATTTAGACAATATATTAAAAGCTAGCCAATGTTAACAGACTAGCCTAGTCAGCTACTGTAAATGTGGTTCATTAGCCATCTCTGTACGTGAATTCAATTGTTTAATCATTTTTCGCCATGATTATGTCTCTTTTCAAGTAACTAGCTGCAGGTTTAAAGAAACATTCAAATCATATACTTAGCATAGAAACACAAATAAAAGCATGTAGACAAAGATGCATTTGTCATGTATGCTAGAATTTAGGTTTAAAAACTACAGCTGCATATGCATATTAGCCAATACATATAGCATAGCCTGCACTTATAGCATACCTTTCAATACAATCTTCTCTAAAAATAACATATAATGTGCTCTGCAATAAGATAACCAGAGTTTAAGTTCTAAACCAGACGAGTTCTCAAACAGAAGCTGCCCAATACCATGGTGGCCATGCATAATGTTGGATGCATTAGAATATATGGTCTGGAGAATTATAGAGCCTGTAGGATTACATAAAAAGCAGTGAATGTGAGTATATTTAGGTGGTTTAAATGATTAACTTTCCTACAAACCTAAAAGTTGACGGTGCCAGAATCTTGCAAATCCATTCATTATTCTACCAACTATGACTGAGTGAGACGTTTTCAAAAATGTGTTTCATGCATATACATACGAACAAAGAACACCATCACAAATAAGTGTTTCACCATTTGAGTATGGAGGCAAACAGCAAAGGTGTCTCAGGCAGTATTTGACGTATCTAAATATCGTGCAACCTACTGAATGTATAAAACATTAGGAACACCTGCTCTTTGCATGACAGACTGACAAGGTTAAAGATATGATCGCTTATATCACTACATCAATCAGTGTAGATGAAGGGGAACGCTTGACACCTTGTAGAGTCCATGGCCCGACAACTTGAGGCTGTTCTGAGGGCCGTGGAGGGCACAATCTTACAGTCCAGAAATTAGAGCTTTGCCGTCTATGCCAAACGCCTGGTACTCTGGAGACTAGAAATATCATCAATACATGCTTCTCTCTAGGAGCATGTGTGCGCCCAGGCCCCATAGGCGTATCAAAAGGATCTCACCCTGGTCACCAATGTAGTTAGCCGATGTAGACATTTACATTTGTCATTTAATTAACAGACATCACAAGCGACTTACAGGAGGAACTAGGGTTAGGTGCCTTGATCTAGTTGTCTTGGGGATTCGAACCAGCCACCTTTCGGTTACTGGCCCAATGCTCTTAACTGCTAGGCTACCCGCAACCCTGACAAGACTAAGACAAAACCCACAAAAAGAAAAGACAGGCACATGTGGTCTCAATGTTTATATAGTGACGGCAGGGCTAGCTCAATGCACATTTATCTGTAGTGGGTGTTCCAACTCTAAAATGCACTAGACCAAGACAAAAAAAAAAACTTGAAAATGAATGTGGTCTCAATGTCTAGTGCCGTCAGGGTTAGATCAAACTGAAGTAGGATGTTCTCCTCACAGGTGAGTGAATCAGCCCATGCTTTGTGAATAGCACTTGGTAGATCTCTGGGAGCAGGACACAGGAGAGCTGAATAGATCATGCAAGACAAAAGTGAAAATAAATAAAAATCACAGCAAAGGAATGTAGTTTGTGAGCTAGAAAATGTACATCCTGACAAACTGGTGCAGGGTGCGCTGCAAACATGCTACTCCAACTATTGACAGGGATAATGTGGCATTGTCAGTATGAATGACATATGGGTCCCGCCTTTATGACTATTCGATTTACACTACATGTCCTATATATTTTTGTAGTCTTAAAATACTTGGAATAAACTTACAGCTAAAACACTCCTTGTCCCAGAATGACACGCTAGCTAATGATAAAGCCATCTGTTCCTGCTAGCTAATGATAAAGCCATCTGTTCCTGCTAGCTAATGATAAAGCCATCTGTTCCTGCTAGCTAGCAACATATCTTATTGCAACTACAGTAGCTAGCTACATTAAAAGGTTGCCATGTTCTATGATGTCATTTTACAGCTTGGAGTGATGGCATCACGTTTAACTAAATAGTTAAGATTACAAATAAGTAATACCTTACTTGATAGCAGTTAGTTGAACAGAGAGCCCTCTCAAGATGTCACCAGCTGTCTACTTACTACCTAAATTACCGATAAAGTGATAGTACACAAGTTGATTGGTTTACAGTTTAGTACTCGCAGCACTTGCTAGCGAACATAAGTAGTTTGAATAAATGTGCAAGAATTGATATTGCCAACAAACGGAAATGTGTTCAATAGAAATAAATACACAATAGGTCAAAACCAGCGCCTCCCTCGACAGAGACCGAGCTCACCAACTGAAGCAGATGGCTTGCTACAGCCCACTACCAGAATACATTGACAAATAGATTACTGGTCAATTTCATTCAGCATTAGTGAATGTGCAAAAAAAAATCTTCAATACTACCATTGCATGGAGGTACAAAAGCAAGTCTGAACAAAACCCCTTAGCACCCCAAGTTGTAAGATGTCAATTATCAAAGCTGCTCCAAGTATACAGTTATGAGGTACTGGCCCTACTGTTTTGGTTATCAAGTTCCTTCTGTCTGAAAGGACATTAGTCTAGAACATAATGTATGGATTATCATGACTAACCACCCCATCCCCAGAGAACAGAGCAATGACATTAACAGTAAACAAATTTATTTTGTCATCTGCACTTTACAGTTGGAATTCGGGGAATTCAAAAACAACATCTTTGCCTGTGAGCTTCTTGTAGACACCAGAGAAGGTCTCAACCTGAAAATAGAAACACAACTACTGGTTAACCACTGCATAGACTAACATTTACAGGTTATGAAGATTTGGTTTAAAAAAAAACATTAAAACCTGAGACTTCAAAAGTTGTATACTGCATGGTTTAGCCCCCCAGTCATAGCCCAAAGGGCTCTGGGAAGATGTAGGAATATACAGAACGCTGTCCTCACCAGCCCAAGGGCCGGGGACAAAGCTTGCTCTCCAACGTTGTGGAACAGGACTGTACGTCATAGCAGTCTGAAGTGCTACGCTCCCATATGCCACAAGGACAGAGCCATGTGAGAGCAACCTCACAGGATATCCACGTTGGGGTTAAGTCGGGGGAACTAGCAGACTGCTACAGGACACTCACTTTGTGTTCAACGTTGTTCTGCTGCGCCTTGTCAAGGTGGACCTTGATGAGCCGACTGCTGTCCAGTTTCACGCGGATTCTCTTGCCGACAATCTCACTGGGGAAGACCAGGTCTTCAAGGATGGCATCATGCACAGCTGTCAGCGTACGGCTGGAGAAATAAATCACAACTTGCATTAGAAATAGTTTTTTTGGCTAACAAAAAATTGCAAGCCTTGCTAAAACAAATGTTCCTACCACCAGTCTCATTCTAAATTAAAGGAAGATTCTTTATACATGTCTGAATGCATGTATTGGAAAGGGCAATTCAATCTAAACGCTACGCAGGGGTCTTGAAATCACATCACTGAAGACAAGCAGAGTCTGCTTGAGATAACGCAAGGTAATAGGAGGGAACGTTGATTTAGCATTATATGGTTAGTCTCCAGTTCATCTTGTAGACATACTGATCTATGCAAAATACCATTCAAAGTTTCAAGTTGTCACATGCTTAAGTAGTGAAATGCCTTTCTTACAAGCTCTTTCCCAACAATGCAGTAATTAGTATCAGTAGTACAAATAAAAAGTAAAGTAGAACATAAACACACAAGAAATAAGAACGAGAAAGTAAGCAAGCTATATATTGGGTAAGTGTCAGGGTCGGTACCAATACCATATTTACAATGTGCAGGTATACTGGAATGGTAGAAAGCATATACAACATTGTATTTGTAAGATTGTACACTGCATGGTTTAGCCCCCCAGTCATAGCCCAAAGGGCTCTGGGAGGATGTAGGAATATACAGAACGCTGTCCTCACCAGCCCAAGGGCCGGGGACAAAGCTTGCTCTCCAACGTTGTGGAACGGGACTGTACGTCACAGCACTCAAGTGCTACGCTCCCATAAGCCACAAGGACAGAGCCATGCGAGAGCAACCTCACAGGATATCCACGTTGGGTCCAAAAATGGTGTGCAATCATGGCAGCACAAGATATGGCAGAAACTATTTCAAGTTCTAAAACTAGCACCCATTCACTCCAACATTAAAGCCACATTTAAATTGTCTCTTCCATATAAATGTAGTATGTTGTCGTGCACATGCAGGTATGATAATATAACTTACCTCCTGGGACGCTTCTGCTTATTCTTGATACGGCTTTTCCTGGTTGGTTTGGGCAGGATTCTCCTCTGCAAGTTGAATGAAAATATTAAGGATTACCAATTTACCTAAGCCAGACTTTAAAAGCCCAACAAGCATACTTGATAACTAAATGTACACTGCATGGTTTAGCCCCCCAGTCATGGCCCAAAAGGCTCTGGGAAGATGTAGGAATATACAGAACGCCGTCCTCACCAGCCCGAAGGCCGGGGACAAAGCTTGCTCTCCAACGTCATGGAATGGGACTGTACGTCACAGCACTGAAATGCTACGCTCCCATACGCCACAAGGACAGAGCCATGTGAGAGCAACCTCACAGGATGTCCACGTTGATATTATGCTAGAATCACAGCATAGAAACAGCATGTACACCATATGACCAAAAGTATGTGGACACCTGCTAGTCGAACATCTCATTCCAAATTTATGGGCATTAATATAGAGTCGGTCCCCCCTTTGCTACTATAACAGCCTCCACTCTTCTGGGAAGGCTTTCCGCTAGATGTTAGAACATTGCTGCGGGGACTTGCTTCAATTAAGCCACAAGATAATTATTGAGATCGGGCACTGATGTTGGGCGATTAGGCCTGGCTCGCAGTCAGCATTCGAATTCATCCCAAAGGTGTTCATTGGGGTTGAGGTCAGAGCTCTGTGCAGGCCAGTCAAGTTCTTCCACACAGATCTTGAAAAAACATTTCTGTATGAACCTCGCTTTCTGTACGGGGGCATTGCCACGCTGAGACAGGAAAGGCCCTTGCCCAAACTTCCCACAAAGTTGGAAGCACAGAATCGTCTAGAATGTCATTTTATGCTGTAGCGTTAACATTTCCCGTCACTGGAACTAAGGAGCCAGAACCACGAAAAACAGACAAAGACCATTATTCCTCTTCCAAACTTTACATTTCACACAATGCATTGGGGCAGGTAGCGTTCCTGTCATCTGCCAAACCCAGATTCGTCGGACTGCCAGATGGTGAAAAGTGATTAATCAATCCAGAGAACGCGTTTCCAGTGCTCCAGTGTCCAATGGTGGGGAGCTTTACGCCACTCCAGCCGATACTTGGCATTGCGCATGGTGATCTTAGGCTTGTGTGCGGCTGGTCGGCCATGGAAACCCATTTCATGAAGCTCCCGATGAACAGTTATTGTGCTGACGTTGCTTCCAGAGGCAGTTTGGAGTGCTGCAACCGAGGACAGACTACTCTTAGCGCTACAGCACTCGGCGGTCCCGTTCTGTGAGCTTGTGTGCTCCTAGACGTTTCCACTTCACAATAACAGCACTTAGTGTTGACCAGGGCAGCTCTAACAGGGCAGAAATTTGACAAACTGTCTTGTAAAGGTGGCATCCTATGACAGTACCACATTGAAAGTCACTGAGCTCTTCAGTTAGGCAATTCTACTGCCAATGTTTGTCTATGGAGCTTGCATGGCGGTGTGCTCGATTTTATACACCTGTAAGCCATGGGTGTGGCTTAAATATACAAATCCACTGATTTGAAGGGGTGTCCACATACTTGTGTGATATATATATATATACACACATACATACACACACCTCACATACAGTACCAGTCAAGTTTGGACACACCTCCTCATTCAAGGCTTTTTCTGTATTTTTACTATTTTCTACATTGTAGAATAATAGTGGACATCAAAACTATGAAATAACATATGGAATCATGTAGCAACCAAAGAAAACCTTGAACAAATAAAAAATATATATATTTGAGATTCTTCAAAGTGCTACCCTTTGCCTTGATGACAGCTCTGCACACTCTTGCCATTCTCTCAACCAGCTTCATGAGGAAGTCACTTGGAATGCATTTCAATTAAAAGGAGTCTTCTTCAAAGTTAATTTGTGGAATTTATTTTTTTCTTAATGCGTTCGAGCCAATCAGTTGTGTTGTGACAAGGTAGGGGGGTGTACAGAAGATAGCCCTATTTGGTAAAAGACCATGTCCATATTATGGCAAGAACAGCTCAAATAAGCAAAGAGAAACGACAGTCCATCATTACTTTAAGACATGAAGGTCAGTCAATACAGAAAATCAAGAGCTTTGAAAGATTCTTCAAGTGCAGTCGCAAAAACCATCAAGTGCTATGATGAAACTGACTCATGAGGACTGCCACAGGAAAGGAAGACCCAGACTTACCTCTGCTGCAGAGGATAAGTTAATTAGAGTTAACTGCACCTCAGATTGCAGCCCAAATAAATGCTTCAAATAGTTCAAGTAACAGACAACATCAACTGTTCAGAGGAGACTGCGTGAACCAGGCCTTCGTGGTTGAATTGCGACAAAGAAACCTCTACTAAAGGACACCAATAATAAGATGAGATTTGCTTGGGCCAAGAAACACGAGCAATGGACATTTGACCGGTGGAAATCTGTCCTTTGGTCTGATGAGTCTAAATTTGAGATGTTTGGTTCCAACCGCTCCGTCTTTGTGAGACGCAGAGTAGGTGAACAGATGATCTCCACGTGTGGTTCCCACTGAAGCATGGAGGAGGTGTGATGGTGCTTTGCTGGTGACACGTCAGTGATTTATTTAGAATTCAATGCACACTTAACCAGCATGGCTACCACAGCATTCTACAGCGATACGCCATCCCATCTGGTTTGCAATGACCCAAAACACACCTCCAGGCTGTGTAAGGGCTATTTGACCAAGAAGGAGAGTGATGGAGTGCTGCATCAGATGACCTGGCCTCCACAATCCCTCGACCTCAACCCAATTGAGATGGTTTGGGATGAGTTGGACAGCAGAGTGAAGGAAAAACAGCCAACAAGTGCTCAGCATATGTGGGAACACCTTCAAGACTGTTGGAAAAGCATTCCTCATGAAGCTGGTTGAGAGAATGCCAAGAGCGCACAAAGCTGTCATCAAGGCAAAGGGTGGCTACCTTGAAGAATCTAAAATATATTTTGATTTGTTTAACTATTTTTTTGGTTACCACATGATTCCATGCGTGTTATTTCATAGTTTTGCTGTCTTCCGTATTATTCTACAATGTAGAAAATAGTAAAAATAAAGAAAAACCCTTGAATGAGTAGGTGTCCAAACTTTTGCCTGGTACTTTATGCATGTATATTAATTACACACAAAAGTATGTGGACACCCCTTCAAATGAGTGGATTCAGTTATTTCATACATCTCTATCTATCTATATACACACACACCTATGAGCATCAGATGGCAGTAAACGGTCTTCTCAAAAGGAACCAAGCTAACAGTGGGGTCACAGCAACAGCTCTGCAACTAAGAAAACAGGACAGCGAGAGAGCCGCATTCCTACCTGTGCAACGAAGACGACATGTTTGCCGCTGAACTTCTTTTCCAGCTCCCTCACGAGTCGCACCTGAATTTTCTGGAAAGATTTCAGCTGGGGCACGGGGACAAAGATGATGATGGCTTTCCTGCTACCACCAACTTCGATTTCCTGAGAGAGAGGAAAATATGTTAGAACTAACGGAGTTAAATACAGACATTGTAGGAGATACTTTTTCATCCAGACAGCTAAAAAACTATGCACTGCATGGTTTAGCCCCCCAGTCATGGCCCAAAGGGCTCTGGGAAGATGTAGGAATATACAGAACGCCGTCCTCACCAACCCGATGGCCGGGGACAAAGCTTGCTCTCCAACGTCATGGAACGGGACTGTACGTCACAGCACTGAAATGCTACGCTCCCATATGCCACAAGGACAGAGCCATGTGAGAGCAACCTCACAGGATGTCCACGTAGGGGTTTAACTCACCCAATAATAACCAAAAACAGCTCTTCTTACTAAGCATCAAACTCCTCCCACATTTAAACAAACATTAATCTTCAGTTATCCAAAAAAAGGTCTGAGCAAGCAGTTAGAAATAAGGCAAGTACAACACATGCTCCATGTAGTGCACAGTCCTTACCTTTGCAGCAGTGATGTTCAGCTCCCTCAGCTGAGCCTTCATGTCGGAGTTCATCTCCAGCTCGAGAAGAGCCTAGAAAAGCAGACATGTTGAATACTGCAAACAGCATTAGCCAAGTGACTAAGAAAGTTATAGAAGTTGTGTAAATAGCCATACATGCAATAGCTAACATACTAGCCATTGGTTACCTGAGAAATGCCAGACTCGAACTCGTCTGGCTTTTCGCCATTGGGCTTCACGATTTTGGCGCTGGTACTGAACATGGCCTATGTCTCTGGAATGATAGAAAGACAAGAAAACCATTTAAGCATGTTGTACACCTTCGGACATAATTGAATGTTTCAGGTGAAACTAGCCAACATTAGCAAAGCAGTCCATGCTGAACGCGATCTCACCATACATACATGCAGTTACTAAGTTAACTAGTTAGCCAAACAACTATACTATAGCTAAGGTTGATCAAACGAAAAGTCGACACTGGTTCGTTCCATGAACATATTCAACATACAACCGAGCAAGTTATTGCATTGCATCCATCTAGCTACTAAAATAATAATAATATCCAAAGGGACTTACAATCATGTGTGCATAATTTTTTTGTGTGTGTATACTAAAGGTCGCATGTCCCCAAGCTAACTAGTTGGCTAGCCAGCGTTAGCCGGCTAGCAGCAGTGTCTTTCAAAAATGGTTCACTTTAGTTAGCCGCAACCTTCAGGGAACACAGTACTCAAACATACACCATGTCAGGCTAAACATCGGACAGGCCACTAGACAAAAGGTAAAATACTACGTGGTTAAAAAACGGACTCTTCGATTGACTACAAGCAATTCTTCCAGGAACACATGGGCCTCAAACCGCGCCTGTTATACTACCAGTCCTTCCTTCATTCCTTGTCTTTCACGTTAGGTCTATCCTGAAACACTCAATAACTCATTACACAGCGGCCATCCAAAATCTGAAATATAACAATCTAACGCATCAAACGTTTTAAATACACTCTGACACAAAACCCAGGGAATTTGATACACATGTACAACATTTTCTCAAGAAATTCCGATTAGTGGGAGCATTATCATGACCAACCTCAGTCAACGACGGCCAGGGAAGAGGCCGGAATCTCGCGAGAGGTAGCTAAAACACGTCGTGCGAAGGAGTCATGGGAACACGGAAGTAGCTATGATTTTGAAGATGTTTTTTTCTCCCACCAGCAGAGAGCGTATTTCGAAAGCGAAAGTACTTAATTAATGCGAATACAAATGCAAAAGAGAAGCATAAGTACGCCAATGTATATCATGTTACAATGTATAGCAAGCTAACTTTTATGGTTGTATGTTTGTTGAGTTAACTAGCATGCTAGCTGCACTGTTTACATGCCTGTATTAGTTCCAATGACAACTAGCTAATAGTTTCCTTGTATTTCAACACATAGCAAGTTAGTTTGTTCACATTGCTTTAGTTAAGACCGTACAATGACCGGTGCCTCCACTTTCAAGTAATTGCTGGTCTAAGTGATGTTCAGATTGACCGGTCTGTATAGTATAGTACGCAGGGCAGTCTGCAATGGCACAGAGGACATGGTGAAAGGCAAATTCTTCTACGCTGTGAGGAAAGGATTAAAACCTGGAGTTTACCAAACTTGGTGAGTTGTGGTGTAGTTGGCTAGCTAGCTAGTTACAGCTGTAGTGTGTCTTAAAACACATTGACATTTATATTATAATTTCTATTCATTGAATTACAGTGGGGAGAACAAGTATTTGATACACTGCCGATTTTCCTACTTACAAAGCATGTAGAGGTCTGTAATTTTTTATCATATGTACACTTCAACTGTGAGAGACAGAATCTAAAACAAAAATCCAGAAAATCACATTGCATGATTTTTAAGTAATTAATTTGCAATGTATTGCATGACATAAGTTTTTGATACATCGGAAAAGCAGAACTTAATATTTGGTAGAGAAATCTTTGTTTGCAATTACAGAGATCATACGTTTCCTGTAGGTCTTGACCAGGTTTGCACACACTGCAGCAGGAATATTGGCCCACTCCTCCATACAGACCTTCTCCAGATCCTTCAGGTTTCGGGGCTGTCGCTGGGCAATACAGACTTTCAGCTCCCTCCAAAGAATTTCTATTGGGTTCAGGTCTGGAGACTGGCTAGGCCACTCCAGGACCTTGAGATGCTTCTTACGGAGCCACTCCTTAGTTGCCCTGGCTGTGTGTTTCAGGAAGACCCAGCCACAACCCATCTTCAATGCTCTTACTGAGGGAAGGAGGTTGTTGGCCAAGATCTCGCGATACATGGCCCCATCCATCCTCACCTCAATACGGTGCAGTCGTCCTGTCCCCTTTGCAGAAAAGCATCCCCAAAGAATGATTTTTCCACCTCCATGCTTCACGGTTGGGATGGTGCTCTTGGGGTTGTACTCATCCTTCTTCCTCCAAACACGGCGAGTGGAGTTTAGACCAAAAAGCTATATTTTTGTCTCATCAGACCACATGACCTTCTCCCATTCCTCCTCTGGATCATCCAGATGGTCATTGGCAAACTTCAGACGGGCCTGGACATGCACTGGCTTGAGCAGGGGGACCTTGTGTGCGCTGCAGGATTTTAATCCATGACAGCGTAGTGTGTTACTAATGGTTTTCTTTGAGACTGTGGTCCCAGCTCTCTTCAGGTCATTGACCAGGTCCTGCCGTGTAGTTCTGGGCTGATCCCTCACCTTCCTCATGATCATTGATGCCCCACGAGGTGAGATCTTGCATGGAACCCCAGACCGAGGGTGATTGACCGTCATCTTGAACTTCTTCTATTTTCTAATAATTGCACCAACAGTTGTTGCCTTCTCACCAAGCTGCTTGCCTATTGTCCTGTGGCCCATCCCAGCCTTGTGCAGGTCTACAATTTTATCCCTGATGTCCGTACACAGCTCTCTGGCCTTGGCCATTGTGGAGAGGTTGGAGTCTGTTTGATTGAGTGTGTGGACAGGTGTCTTTTATACAGGTAACGAGTTCATAAAGGTGCAGTTCATACAGGTAATGAGTGGAGAACAGGAGGGCTTCTTCAAGAAAAACTAACAGGTCTGTGAGAGCTGGAATTCTTACTGGTTGGTAGGTGATCAAATACTTATGTCATGCAATAAAATGCAAATTAATTACTTAAAAATCATACAATGTGATTTTCTGGATTTTTGTTTTAGATTCCGTCTCTCACAGTTGAAGTGTACCTATGATAAAAATTACAGACCTCTACATGCTTTGTAAGTAGGAAAACCTGCAAAATCGGCAGTGTATCAAATACTTGTTCTCCCCACTGTATATGTGTTTACTTTTTCAGGGATGAATGTAAGAGCCAAGTTGACAAGTTCCCATATGCCAGCTACAAGAAGTTTGCAGCAGAAAAGGATGCCTGGGCATTCGTCAGAAGCGTAGCAACGTCGATAACTCCAGACGTAAAAGAGGGTAGATACAGTAGATGGCTATGTTCTTTCTCTATAGGTCACTCTACTTGTGAAATGGCAATACAATGGGTGCTGATGTTACTCGCTCTAGGAATGGGCAGCCCATCTAATCATTAGACAACTAGTGCACCGTTCGGGCTCAGCATAATCAGACTTGCACTCAGACCACAATATTATATTTTAGGAGCCAGCTATGAGGCAACACTCCCTAGAAGAGCACCGGAGGCCATTGAGTATATACCCATTTGTCAGAAGCGGCACTATTGTCACATAGACGAGGAGGGGGTGTCCCCTGCCAAACGAGCCAAACCGAGTCAAGACAGCAGCTCATCTTCAAAAAGCTCTGATGGATTCACCTACATTGGTAATTACAGACATTCTCAATGTGTTGTTAATGTTGCAGATTAAAATGGTTAGTGTTTATGTTTTTGGGGTGAATAAACAGTGTTTTCTGTTCCTCCAGGTGATGCAGTGGTGGTGTACACAGATGGTTGCTGTTCAGGCAATGGGAAGGCCGGGGCCCGAGCTGGCATCGGAGTGTACTGGGGACGTGACCATCCTCTGTGAGTTGATTCAGGCCTGTAGTAAATTATACTTCAAGAGAGCTTGACACAATAGAGTCCAGAAGTTTTCATGTTGACTGTCTTTACTGTAGGAATGTAGCTGAACCACTGGATGGAAGACAGACCAACCAGAGAGCCGAATTACAGGCAAGTACTGTGTTAGTGTCATATTTGCTTTAATTGTGAACTCTAAAGCAGTGTTATTATTTTAGGCTCATTGAATTGCCACAGTTCCCTTTTGGATTGTAACCCCACATAGATGTAATCTCACGTTTTGCTTCTAAATGACAGGCAGCATGTAAAGCCTTGGAGCAGGCCAAAGAGATGAACATCAAGAAGTTGGTGCTCTATACAGACAGCAAGTTCACAATAAACGGTACATATGTGCTGCTTAAAACACTCAACCAACACTATCAGCAAGGGCATGTGATGCTGCAGGCATGATGCAGAAGCTAATATTACTAGCTAGGCCTACTGTGACCATTGGATGAGAAATCCAAAGGTCCCTCCTCTCTGACCTTCTCTTCCAATGGGTTTTGAGAAGGAGGCGAGAGGACGCGAGGAGTATGCAATTAAGAAAAGGCATATGTCGGTGTTGTTTCCTTCAGGTGTCACCAGCTGGGTGAAGAACTGGAAGCTGAACAACTGGCGGCTCAACTCTGGTGGCCCCGTCATCAACAAAGAGGACTTTGAAAAACTTGACGTGTTGAATGAAGAGCTGGAGGTTGTATGGGTAAGTATCAATGTTGCTCTACATATCTATACATGTTTTCACTTCAGAGATTCAGTACTCAAATGTTTTGGGTTTCAGACTAGAACAGCGGTTCCCAAACTAGGGGTCACAACCCCATGTGGGGTCACCTGATTTGAAGATGGGATGGCAGGAGAAACTCCCAAAAGCCTGGTGAAACTTTTTTAATAATTAAAAAATATATACTTTATCATTATAAAAAAATGTTGTTATGTGGTTAACCAAAACATTTTTTTCTTCTAAAAGTTAAAATTCTACTGTGAAGGAGTTGCCTTCAAGAAATAGTTCAATACTCTACCAAACATTCTAGTTTCTAGATCTGTCTTCTATGGGATTGGGTTGGTGGATCTCATCCAACTTGAAGGTGCATACACCGCCACATACTGTACTGAAGTGTGAGACCAGTCACGGCCTACCTACATTAAATTCTCTTCATTATTCCTGTTACTTAAAGGAAGAAAATAGCACCACCAACTAACCCTACACCTACAGTACATACCACCATTTCATAAAAATCATATACCCAGGTACTTCTCTGCAGCTGCTACCTACACATTAACAACCCACTACCCCATTCCACTACTTTGACCCTATCTGCTCCTGCACCATGCAAACGACCTGGGAGGACAGGACACCACCCATCAACACACTCAAAACTCTTCTGCAGTAAAATCTCATATACCCAGGTACTTCTCTGCAGCTGCCACCACATCTATTTTCTGTGATTTATGTTCCATTTCTGCGGTACAGTTGATAACCATTGCTATGAACACTCGGAAGTCAACCTTACTGAAGCATAAATCACTCGTTGCCCTATCCCTCTGCGCTGACACAAATCTACTAAAAATCTTCTCAGGATCCCTCACCCTTGACCCCTCACCCATCCTTCTCTACTTTATTCACTGCCTCAGAAAATGACACCTTCTGCACTACTCTGACTCTGGCCAATTCAACCTGCCTCTCTCGCACTGGAAACTTCCGATCCACAGCAACATGAGCACCCCTACAGTTGACACACACAACTTTATCCACCGAAACTACACAATCCTCTGTCCCATGCCCTCCTGCACACTTCCCACATCTTGGAATCTCCTTCTTACACACTGCTGCAACATAAACGTTGCACCTCAAACAGCGCAGTGGAGTCTGCACAAAAGCTCTAGCAGGATAACTGATATATCCTTACATGACTTTGTTTGGTAGAGACTCTGACTCAAAAGGACTGACGGTGACTCCTCGGTTTCACCACGCACCCCACCGGGTCTGCGTCGCACCAAACGGTCACAAACACCAGGAATTTTCATCTTCAATTGCTCCACCTCCACACCCATCTTCTTCTTCTTCTATGGTATATTGGCGATCACACAATTTCATGTGCATCCCACCACCTACTATGCGGGATGGAAACAGGATTCCCCCCAAAAACAGAACTACCAATAAATCAAATAACTTTTCAGTTAAAAATAAATAAATATAAGGATATCTGATCCCTACACAGGCTCAAGGGGAACCTGGGATGGCGGGTCTTCCGGCGCCAGGACCCCTTGCAAGTCTTCCGATGTAAAATCCTTGAGTCCCAAAAACCTCTGCCGCACCCACAATAATGTCCAGTTTCTTCGACTTCTTTGAGACTTGTGCTGTACAGTTTATAACTGTGGCAATGAACGCAACAAAATCCACCTTTTTAACACACAGGGTATCTTTTGTCTGGCAGCAAACATTTACTACAGGCTGTGGTGTATCCACTAGCATCACTTGTTTTCTCAATTATTTTCATCGCCTCCGCATAGGGGATTCAATTGACCGCTCTAACTTTTGCCACCTCAATTTCCTTCACCCTTACAGGGCATTCCAGGAACTCAGGATCATGATCCCCACCACAATTACAACACCGTCGTCCTTCTACACACCGTTCTTCAGTATACTCTGTTCGTCTGCACACACTTGAAACATGGCCAAATCCTTTACAATTATTACACTGCAGTGGTTTGGGGACGAAAGCTCTTACAGCGTATCTTACATAACCAAGCTTCACATGCGTAGGTATTTGCTCTTCCTCAAAAAAACAACCGGACCGACAGACTTTCTTATTTCTCTCCATTCACCCAGCAGGTCAGACGCCGGGCACCAACCACACCAGGAATTCTCTTCAGGTATTCAACCTGAACATCCGTCGTCACCCCTGAAATGACTCTTTTGACGGGTGCTCTACTCCGGAGTTCAAAACACAAAACTTCTGTTGTCCGGATTCTTTTGAGGCCCACTGCAATCTTCCTCTGCTCTTCAGAAATACAATTAATCAAAATAAGACCACTCCTGGTCACTCTGACAGACTCCACCTTTCTTAAATATTTTTCTAGCAGACGCTCTTATCCAGAGCGACTTACAGTTAGTCCATACATGATTTTTATTTATTTATTTTTAATGTTTATTTTAATTTTTTTATACCCCCCGTGGGAATCGAACCCACAACCCTGGCGTTGCAAACGCCTTGCTCTACGAACTGAGCTACATCCCCTGCCAGCCATTCCCTCCCCTACCCTAGACGACGCTGTGCCAATTGTGCGCCGCCCCATGGGTCTCCCGGTCGCGGCCGGCTACGACAGAGCCTTTCCATGCACATACTTCACCATTTAACACCTCAAACGGGTTTCCCACATATGCATCCTTACTCAACAAGCTCATCCCAACAAGAAGCGATTCATTATCATGTACACACGTATCCTCCACTCCAATTTGAGACAATTTCATTTTTGTTAAATTTTTAGATACTACTGTTGTCCATTCAGAACATTCGACTTCCCCAAATTTACTCGACGCGCTGCTGAATTCAAACTCAGCATCCACTTCCGCCATCTTCCCGTCAACCTCCAAACCGCTGTCCTCCACACTCATCGTCAAGTGTTTCTTGTTTTCTGTTGGTCCAGCTAATTAAGTGGTTAATTGACACAGGTGTTTCAGCTCAGTAACTAGGTCACCTGCCATGTTAAAATGGTTGTGCCAGAACATTTTGGAGGGGAGGGGGACAAACCACGACAGACGGTTGTGAATCGAGAGGGATTTTTTGAAATTGTTGAAAAACAAACAAAGTTTACTCAGTGTGACGGAGGTTTGGCACGGCCGTGCTGTGAATGGGTCAGAGATGGTAGGAGATAGTGATGGAGAGGAAAGGGAAGCAAGTATGGAACATAGTGGTACAAATAAAGGAGGGAGTAAGAAAGAGAAATAAAGCGGGAGAGAAAGGGAGTAGGGGTATGAAGGGGAGAAAAGGAAGTTTGAGGAGAGCAACCTAGCTTCCAACGCTAGCGGAAGTTTGGAGGTAGAAAGTGCAGAGGAAGGGCAAGATAAGACACGAGGAACATGGAGGTGAGGAGGAGCATAAAGTGATTATGAAGTTTAGGGAGGAAGGGGGAGTTGGGGCGATGAGTCCGATAAGGTTGACGGCTGTGATAAAAGAGTTGATTGGGGAAGTTGTTAATGCTAAAGTGTTAAGAGATGGGAGATTGTTGGTGTGCTGTAAGGACATGGCGCAGAGGGAAAAAGCTATCGGAGTGAAGCAAATAGGGAAGTGTAAGGTGGTGTCGAGCAGCTGGTCTGATCAAGCAGGGAAGCAGTGGAGTAAAGGGGTGATAACAGGAGTGCCTGTGAGTGTTCGCACTAAAGAGGTAAGGGACAATTTGAGAGGAGGCGTTCTAGTGAATGTACAAAGATTGCAAGCAACAAGGGGTGGAGATAGAGTAGATAGCACGTCTATTCTGTTACATTTCAAGGACCGGGTACTGCCAAATAAAGTAACAATAGGATATATGAGTTATTATGTGAGGGCTTATGTACCGAAGCCTTTAAGATGTTATAAATGCCAGAGGTTTGGGCATGTGGCAACAGTCTGTAAAGATAAAAAGAGGTGTGCCAGGTGTGGAGGAGAGCATGAGTATGGGAAGTGTGGAGATGGTGTACAACCAAAGTGCTGCAACTGTGGGGGTGCTCATAGTGTGGCATATAGTGGGTGTGAGGCTATGAAGAAGGCAGTGGAGGTGCAACAAGTGGGAGTGGAGAGAAGGGTGTCATATGCTGAGGCAGTGAGGGTGGTCCAGGAGAGAAGGGTGTCATATGCTGAGGCAGTGAGGGTGGTCCAGGTCCAGGGAGATACAGGTTCAAGGGAGAGATGAGTAGGAGCATCTAGACCGGGGATTACGGGGTAGGTGGGCAGCGATATGGTATACATAGAAAAGAGAAAGCTGGTAACGTTCATAGCAGGAGCTATCAATAGCACTGATAAAGTAGAATCTAAAACGGAGAGGATTAAACTAATAGTGAAAGCTGCTGGGAGACATTTAAGTATGACAGGGTTGACATGGGAAGAGATTCGAGATTACCTCAATCAGCCGACGGTGGAGTCATGTATTACTGGATCTTAGTTCTGGTGGTAGTACTACAATGGAATGCTCGAAGCCTGTTGGCTAATGGGCAGGAATTCAAGCAGTTCATTGTTGATATGCTAGCTAAGCCTGATGTGATTTGTGTGCAGGAAACATGGCTCAAACCGAATGTGGAGTTTATCATACAGGGATATAGGCAAAGGTATTGAACAGGAGTACGTGGTGGTGGAGGTGTGTCTGAGAGGAGGGGTGCTAGTGGTAGTGAATTACTATAATCTGTGTCAGATATTGGACATGGAAGTGCTGGAGCGGGTGGAGGGCCAGGAATGAAGTAAGGTAATGTGGTGTGGGCATTTTAACGCCCACAACATGCTTTTGGGTGCGAAACGGATGGATGGAAATGGCCAAGTGATGGAAAATTTGATAGAAAAGAAAGATCTGGTGTGCCTGAATGATGGCAGAGGGACCAGGATTGATGTAGCCACAGGGAAAGAGTCTGCCTTGGACCTCACTCTGGTATCTAATGCGATGGCAGGAATATGTGAGTGGGAGGTATGGGAGGAGTCGACAGTAGGGAGTGATCATTAACCCATTGTATGCACAGTAGGCCGGAGGGAGGAGGAGGTGTTAGTGGATGGAGTAGGCAGGTGGGTGTTTGGAAGGGCAAAGTGGGATCAGTTTCAGGACCTGAGTGAGCAGGTGATGGCTCGGGTGGATATGAGAGGGGATGTAGATAGTATGAATAACTGGGTGAAAACAGCGTTAGTGGGGGCAGCTACTGAGGCTATACCTAAGAGTTCAGGGAGGAGGAGGAGGAGGAAAGCAGTCCCATGGTGGACAGAGGAATGTGGGGCAATGGTGAGGATTAGGAACAGGGCATTTAGAGTACTGAAAAGGACGCATAACTTCCAACATCTGATTCAGTATAAGCAGGCCCAGGCCATGGTGAGGAGAACTATCCGTCAGGCAAAGAGGTCATGTTGGCATCGGTTCTGTGACACCATTGGAAGGGCGACACCTGTGGGGGGGATGATTAAGAGGATGAGTGGGATCAGAAGGGAGTGCGATTATCGAGTGGGGAGGATGTGGCAGTAACAGATGAGGAGAAAGCAGAGATGATCGGCAGGTAGCTTAGTGGTTAAGAGCGTTGTGCCAGTAACCGAAAGGTCGCTGGTTGTAATCCCTGAGCCGACTAGGTGTAAAATCTGTCGATGTGCCCTTGAGCAAGGCACTTAACCCTAATTGCTCCTGTAAGTCGTTCTGGATAAGAGCGTCTGCTAAATGAAAAAAAAAAAAGATGGCCAAAGCATTTGTGCATAGCTCTGCAAATCTGTCAGAGGAGGGGCAGAGGGGAGAGAGAGAACACGAGAGAGAAGCATCCTGGAGTGCTGGGAAGGAGGGAGGATGTAAATGATGCGTTGAGTGCACCATTTACCAGGGCAGAGGTCAAAAGAGCAATAGGTAAGGATGGGTTAACTTCACCTGAGAAAGATGAGGTGTGCAATGTTATGTTGGCCCATCTTAGTGATGAGGCACTAGATAAGGTATTGGTGTTGTACAACAGAGTGTGGGATGAGGAGAAACTACCAGGCAGTTGGAAGGAGGCAGTAGTGGTACCAATCCGGAAGCCCGGGAAGGATCCAACGAAGCCAATAATCTATCGGCCAATAGCTTTAACATCACATGTATGTAAGATTATGGAACGTATGATTACGAAGAGGCTAACTTACTTCCTGGAGAGCAGAGGGCTAGGAACGCCACATCAGAGTGGGTTCAGGAAGGGTAGGGGAACTATGGATCCAGTGCTCTGCTTAGAAGCAGAGGTCAGGAAGGCTCAGGTGAACAAGGAGACTGTTGTAGCTGTCTTTTTTGATGTGGAGAAGGCATATGATATGATGTGGAAGGAGGGGTTGTTAATCAAGCTTGATATTATGGGGGTAGGAGGAAGAATGTACAACTGGATAAATGATTTCCTGTTTGGAAGGTCTCTCCAGGTGAGGGTGGGGAAGTCTTTATCAGGCAGCTACTTGGTGGATAATGGTACACCGCAGGGGAGCGTGATTAGTCCTCTGTTGTTCTCAATCATGATCAATGATGTTTACTCTCAGGTACAGCTGGATATAGGGAGGTTGTTATTTGCAGATGATGGTGCCTTATGGAAGAGGGGAAGAAATGTGCCTTACATAGTCAGGAAGGTACAGGAAGCAATTGATGAGGTAGAGCGGTGGGCATTAATGTGGGGATTCAGGTTTTCTGTAGAGAAAATTCAAACAATGTTCTTTACCAGGAGGAAGGTGGGAGATGAGGTATGCTCGAGGTTATATGGTAGAAACTTGGAGAGGGTGGGGGCCTTCAGGTTTCTTGGGGTATACTTTGATACTAGGCTGACCTGGGCAGAACATATTGAGAGAGTGGTGGGAAAGTGTAAGAAGGTGCTAAATGTGATGCGCTGTCTGACGGGGAAGTGTGGGGCTGGGTGTTACTCATTGAAGACCATGTATGTTGCATTGATCCAATCTGGAAAGGCTAGATGTCATACAGGGGCAAGGACTCAGAATATGTAGTGGGGTGTTTCGGACATCCCCAGTGGCTACAGGACAGGTGGAGATGGGGGGATATGCCGTTGCAGATTAGGAGACAGCAGCTGGCAATGAATTACTGGGTCAACCTACAAGGACATGGGGTGTCTCATCCTGCGAAAGGGATTTTACAGGCATGCTGGGAACATGAGCGAAGACCGAACACGAGCTTTGGGTGGTTGGGTAATACCCAGGCGAAGGAGATGGGACTGTATGGAAGGGAGTTTAGTCCAATGGTAGTTATTCCTGTAAATCCACCATGGCTACTCCCGTCTCCAGTAGTTGATATAGAAGTGTTGGAGAGACTACAGAAAGATAGGGAGGGTGTTGATCCAGCTGATTTCTTTAAGATATGTCTGGAAACTGTGTATCAGGATTTTGTGGCCATTTACACAGATGGTTCAAAAGATCCAACGACAGGATGTACTGGGTCAGTATTTGTAGTGCAGGAATGTGGGGTGGAAGTCAGGAAACGTATTACAGATCATCTGGCTGTATATACGGTAGAGCTGATGGCCTTTCAGTTGGCCTTGCAGTGGGTGGAGGAAGTTAAGCCAGACAGAGTAGTTATTTGCTCTGACTCATGTGCAGTGTTAATGAGTCTCCAGTCCTTTAGCTCACGTAGCAGACAAGACATGCTTTATGATGTGCTACAAACCTATGGCAGGATTAAACAGATGGGTATTCAGATAAGATTTACTTGGGTTCCAGCCCATGTGCGGGTGGAGGGGAACGAGGCAGTAGATGAACAGGCTAAACAAGCACTTAGTAGTGGGGATGTTGATGTTGAAGTGTCAATGAGCAAGGCAGAGGCAAAAAGACTGATATATACAGTGATGGTGAAGAGATGGCAGGAGCAGTGGAATATAAATAATAAGGGAAGGCATTTATTTCAAGTACAGAGGAAAGTCAGGGAGGGGAGGACAGCAGGAAGGGACAGAAGAGAGGAGGCTATTTTTACAAGATTAAGGGTGTGACACAGTTAGTTGAATAAGACATTAAATGTGATAGGAAAGCATCCATCAGGAAAGTGTGATTATTGTCAGTAAATAGACTGTGGAGCATGTATTGCTACAGTGTGGGCAGTATCAGAGGGAAATAGAGAGGATGATATTTAGTATGAGGGAGAAGGGGATACAGGAAATTAGTTTAAAGAGTATATTGAGTAGAGCGTCATTAGATATAGTCTAAAATATTTTTGTTATCTTTTTTAAGAGAAACGGGGTTGGCAGGTAGGATTTAGTTTATCCCTGTCTCTGGCCCACACTCCAGTACGGTAGGTGGCGGTAATGCACCATAACGTTGGATGCCAACCGCCGATAAACCCCACTGAAGAAGAAGATTTTGGAGGGAAATGTCTTTTAACTATGGTGAGCCACATCAGGTTTAGCTGCCAGTTTAGTGTGGTTTTAAATTGCTCTGCTACAGCAGTTTTAAATAAAGTACTTTTGAACGGTTTTTAATCTGTTCTTTTTAAAGCTGTTTAAGTGTTAGAGATGGCCAGCTCTCATACATCCCTGTAAGGATGAAGGAGGTCACAGTAGCTAGGATCAGGGCCATCCAGCAGGTCTCCTATGTGGAGGCAGTGAAAATTGCTGAAGGCGTGAGTAGAGAGGAGATGGTAGTGGATCTCCCACAGTTTGCAGTGAATGCCATGCAGGAGAAGGATCCCGACACACTAATAGTGAAGGTGGACTTTGTTGCGTTTTATAGCGCAAGTGATAAATTGCACTAGTCAAACTAATAAAAAATCTAAGAAGCTAGACATTTTGAAGGCGGCAAATAGATTTCTGAATATCCAGGACTTTACAGCCGAAATGTTACAGGGAGTACTGAATGAAGAGGTTCCCCCTCCAAGGTTCCTGAGCCTGTGTAGGGATCTGAATAGACATTTACATCCGACTGAAGGAGTACCGTTTTTTTGTTTGAAATTCAGGGTAGTAGCGTGAATTTGTTTTTAGTTTTTGGTATTTAGTATGAATTTGTTCATCCAAAACATATTTTGTTTTTGGGGTATTTTTTACAGTAGGTAGCGGCAATACACCTTATGAGTGTAGTCTGCCAATAAACTTTGAAGAAGAAGCTCTCTTACATCAACCAATGAGAGTGCCTTAAGTTGGCGGGAAAAGGCTGGCCTACACTTGAGCGCAGTGTTGCCAACTTAGCGACTTTGTCGCTATATTTAGCGAGTTTTCAGACCCCTCTAGCGACACATTTTCAAAAAAGCGACTATCAACAAATCTAGCGACTTTTTCTCGTGTTATTGGAGACTTTTGGAGACTCTGACGTGAAAGCATGTATCGTTCTTACTCTTCTCAACGAGCAGCGGGTGCTTTGTTACCCCGTCCCAAAGCACTCACAGGCGGCCCAGTCCTCGCACAGCAGTCCCTCCCAGCTGCAGTCAGAGCAGGAGATGTTCACCCCTCCGCGTCCAGACTGCAAATGAATCGCGCATGCGGGAAGCCGCCGCTGGCTGATCCCGCCCTGGCTTACATTCAGGGCGGGATGTAAATGTAGGGTGTTTTTTTACTCACGTTTTGTCTCTCCCACGACGTTATTCCTCTCTCCTACAGCGTCCATCACAATTACATGCACATGGTCAATTATGCAAATTAGGCGATGACATCATTTAGCGACTTTTAGGACAGCCAATAGCTACTTTCCTTACTGAGGAGTTGGCAACACTGCTTGAGCGTTGCACTTGGATCTTTCCCATGGTGAATGGCTACTGCCGCTACGCTGCTGCAAAATTGACATTTTTCTGAGTCCATCCTCGGCTAGTTCTTTGGTGGCTAGCACATTAAGTGAGCAGTGGCGTGTATTCATGAACGCCAAGGGAAGCCAGGCTTCCCCACCCAAAAAACCCAAATGTATCTTTCGTCTCTGTATTCCATAATTTTACATCAATTCGCAAGAGGCTGAATGTATCTCACAGGAGAAGGCATCAGAGCGAGAGAAACAGTGCCCCTCTTCAAGGGAAGCCAGCTTGGATTTGGCATCTCCTATCAAATCGCTTTGAGAGCATACGTCATTAACAGGAACAACTTGAATTTTTGCATCTCGTTTTTGTTGTCCTCCGGCGGCTAGCTAGCTAAAATGGTCCCTTTCCTAAATTAGCCATGGATGGAGATAGGGAGTTGGACGATTCTGATCCAACCATTAATTCATACATTGTTGAAGTTGGCTAGCGAGAAAGCATTTTAGCCAGGTAGCCTAGGACAACAAAAAATAAAAGCGTGTACTCTATGACAGAGTAATAGACTGTTTCGTCAGCATGAAAGAGAGGAGGATGGCATTGGTGTTTCTCTACAAGTAGGGTGAGTCAACATGTTTTTCTACTTGCACAAACACGCACGCGCACACACACACATACAGTTGAAGTCGGAAGTTAACAAACACTAAGGTTGGAGTCACTAAAACTCGTTTTTCAACCACTCCACAAATTTCTTGTTAACAAACTGTAGTTTTGGCAAGTCGGTTAGACATTTACATTTACATTTTAGTCATTTAGCAGACAATCTTATCCAGAGCGACTTACAGTTAGTGAGTGCATGCATTTTCATACTGGCCCCCCGTGGGAAACTAACCCACAACCCTGGCGTTGCAAACGCCATGCTCTACCAACTGAGCTACACGGGGCCCTACTTTGTGCATGACACAAGTAATTTTTCCAACAATTGTTTACAGACAGATTATTTCACTTATAATTCACTGTATCACAATTCCAGTGGGTCAGAAGTTTACATACACTAAGTTGACTGTGCCTTTAAACAGCTTGGAAAATTCCAGAAAATGATGTCATGGCTTTAGAAGCTTCTGATACATTTCTGATATCAAAGTTGGGGTGTGGCCTAAAAAAGTTTGGGAACCCCTTGACTAGAACGTTCAATCATGGATGATGCACAACTGAAATTACTAACAGTCCCCTTTTGCCTCTGACTCTCTTCTCTCTCTTCTTTCTCCAGTTGCACATCCCAGGCCATGCTGGGTACCTAGGAAACGAGGAGGCCGACAGGCTGTCCAGAGAGGGAGCAGCGAAACACTTAGATTAGCCAAACGGAGGTTATTGAACAGCCCATTGAACATTTTTGTTTCTATTAAATAAAGTCTAAGATGCATCCTGTTTGACATCTTTATGGTTGTTTCTAAATTAAGTAATTAATTCAGTTTTTGCTTGTACCATATGAGCATTTCTTTAATATTGCAAAATCATTCCATTCTGATAGTATATTTAAGCAATAAGGCCAGAGGGGGTGTGGTATATGGCCAATATACCACGGCTAAGGACTGTGGTATATTGTGTGTGCCTGGATACAGCTGTTAGTCATGGTATATTGGCCATATACCACAAAACCCTGAGATGCCTTATTGCTATTACAAACAGGTTACCAACATAATTAGAGCAGTAAAAATAAATGTTTTTTCATACCCGTGGTATACGGTCTGATATACCACGGCTGTCAGCCAATCAGCATTTAAGGCTGTTTATAATCACAGATAAAACAGTTCTGTAACCACTCAGTGTAATGTACACTTTAGACAGTAGATGGAGCTCTAGCTCATCAAAACAAATCCAATACCTCGGAATTGAACTGGCTTTCTGAATCACATTCCATACTAGGCTACTCTGTGGAACGAGGGTTCCTGACATATAATCCATAGAAATCCATCCTCTATGTGAGACATGCTGCATGCTATAAGATAATGACTACTCATTATGACATTTGTGTGTGTGATCTAAGGATTATTGGTCTTGCTCAAAAGCCCATAATCTATTACTAGGACTAGTGGTCACATTAACGTTTCCCTCTTCTAAAAGAAAAACACACCCTTCAAAGATAATCTATTCATGTATGCTCTGACATGAACAGATCTTGGTGATATTCTCTATGACTAGTTGGTGCACAATTTCATCTTCTCCACTTTACTTAGTCAGCTTTTGGCAGATACTACTTAGTCTTCAGTACAGTGGGGGGGAAAAGTATTTGATCCCCTGCTGATTTTGTACGTTTGCCCACTGACAAAGAAATGATCAGTCTATAATTTTTATGGTAGGTTTATTTGAACAGTGAGAGACAGAATAACAACAAAGAAATCCAGAAAAACAAATGTAAATTTTTGTTATAAATTTATTTGCATTTTAAAGAGGGAAATAAGTATTTGACCCCCTCTCAATCAGAAAGATTTCTGGCTCCCAGGTGTCTTTTATACAGGTAACGAGCTGAGATTAGGAGCACAATCTTAAAGGGAGTGCTCCTAATCTCAGCTTGTTACCTGTATAAAAGACACCTGTCCACAGAAGCAATCAATCAATCAGATTCCAAACTCTCCACCATGGCCAAGACCAAAGAGCTCTCCAAGGATGTCAGGGACAAGATTGTAGACCTACACAAGGCTGGAATGGGCTACAAGACCATCACCAAGCAGCTTGGAGAGACGGTGACAACAGTTGGTGCGATTATTCTCAAATGGAAGAATCACAAAATAACTGTCAATCTCCCTCGGCCTGGGGCTCCATGCAAGATCTCACCTTATGGAGTTGCAATGATCATGAGAACGGTGAGGAATCAGCCCAGAACTACGCAGGAGGATCTTGTCAATGATCTCAAGGCAGCTGGGACCATTGTCACCAAGAAAACAATTGGTAACACTCTACGCCGTGAATGACTGAAGTCCTGCAGCGCCCGCAAGGTCCCCCTGCTCAAGAAAGGACATATACAGGGCCGTCTGAAGTTTGCCAATGAACATCTGAATGATTCAGAGGAGAACTGGGTGAAAGTGTTGTGGTCAGATGAGACCAAAATCGAGCTCTTTGGCATCAACTCAACTCGCCGTGTTTGGAGGAGGAGGAATGCTGCCTATGACCCCAAGAACACCATCCCCACCGTCAAACATGGAGGTGGAAACATTATGCTTTGGGGGTGTGTTCTGCTAAGGGGACAGGACAACTTCACAGCATCAAAGGGACGATGGACGGGGCCATGTTCCGTCAAATCTTGGGTGAGAACCTCCTTCCCTCAGCCAGGGCATTGAAAATGGGTCGTGGATGGGTATTCCAGCATGACAATGACCCAAAACACACGGCCAAGGCAACAAAGGAGTGGCTCAAGAAGAAACACATTAAGGTCCTGGAGTGGCCTAGCCAGTCTCCAGACCTTAATCCCATAGAAAATCTGTGGAGGGAGCTGAAGGTTTGAGTTGCCAAACGTCAGCCTCGAAACCTTAATGACTTGGAGAAGATCTGCAAAGAGGAGTGGGACAAAATCCCTCCTGAGATGTGTGCCAACCTGGTGGCCAACTACAAGAAACGTCTGACCTCTGTGATTGCCAACAAGGGTTTTGCCACTAAGTACTAAGTCATGTTTTGCAGAGGGGTCAAATACTTATTTCCCTCATTAAAATGCAAATCAATTTATAAAATTTTTGACATGTGTTTTTCTGGATTTTTTAGTTGTTATTCTGTCTCTCACTGTTCAAATAAACCTACCATTAAAATTATAGACTGATCATGTCTTTGTCAGTGGGCAAACGTACAAATTCAGCAGGGGATCAAATACTTTTTTCCCCTCACTGTACGTGTCTCATCCATTCAGTAAGCTGCTGTCTAGACAGTGGACCTATACGTGTGTGAGGAAAAATAATGACAGCTCTAGCTGAGAGAGAAATCTCCAGATAGCCTTTCCCTTCTATGAGGCTGTTGACCAGAGCACCAGAATGAGTGTGTCTGTCTCTGACCTGGCTGGCCTCTCCACAGCGCGCTCTCGGCTTGTCTGGAGATGTGAAGCCCTGTCTGGGGCTGGGTGTTGGAGATACTGCGGCTGCAGTCGGAGGTCAATGTGAGACGGCGTGGAGAGGAGTCATGACGCTTCACCCCATCAGACTGAAGCTCGTTAGGGCTTCGTCTCAACACATTTGCCCCATCAGCAAATATGCTGCTCAGGCATTCATCTGTTTGACACCCCCTCTTCTATTTGGCTCTTGTGGCTAACTAGCTGTTGTCTCCTAGTTGTTAGTTTCGCTTGCCAGACTCTGGGTGGGTCAGAGTCACGGCGAATGTCAGAAGAGACTTCCGCGTTGGTGACTTTTAAGAGCACTGGGTGTTGTCTGCATGAGTAACTCACAATAAAATCTAGATATTATATCAGGGTGTTGACTGCCACAGGGAAAGATATTGTAAAATGGCAAAGCCCTAAGGTTTTCCAGATAATCCATTAAAAATCTGTTCTTGTTTTTGGTATAATATTGAGTTCTCTGTGTGTGGCTTTAGGAGACATTTCTAATGCTATTTATCGATGTGAGATGCAGGGGGAGGAGGAGTAGACTGAATCCTGAGTCCTAGTCATTACCCCACATCTGGTGCCGACGCAGTTCAGAGACTGTCGGCAGCTGACTCTTGTCATGTGCATTAGAAGATGTGTGAAGAATGATTCTCTCCTAACGAATCTAGCGATCATGTGTGTTATGGTGGCGACGGTGGGCCCTCTGTGCTGGGAAACATCAAGGAAAGCCACTCTTGGTGAAAGGCAGAGGGAGTCACAATCAAACATCGTGGCAGCCTCCTCTGTGGAGCAAAGCGGCACCTCGGAACAGAACTGACATCTGTTTCCATGACAGCTGTCTGGATCAGCTTAACTAACTCCTGCCTTAGAACTAATGCGACCGTTTGATTTCGCAGTGAAAAGAAAGACATTCTGTCTGCAGTATTGTTTGGTTTCCACGAATCGAGAGGTAGTCGAACAACAAGTTCGTTTTTATCATCTCAGCGGGGTGAGCTAATGTCTTTCAACCTGCTGTCGTCATTGGACATTAATTGGAGGAGGGGAAATAAAGGAGAAACAGGAAGGGAACTGGAGGTAAACAATGTTGAGATAGAGATTCTTCATCAGCAGGAGAAGAAACGGAAAGAGAGAAGAAAATAATATGGACATGCAAAGAAGCTTGAAGCTAAAGTCATTCAAAAGTATGAGCAGATGAATCTCACTACCCACTGTGCCACAGGAGGTTACTTCATCAGCCTCATTAGTATCTCTCTGTCCCTCTCCCTCTCTTGCTGTCGCTCTCTCTTTACTGGCATTCAATCTCTCCCACCCTCCCTCTGTTTCTGTCTCCTTGCCTCTCATGCTGTCTCTCTCTATCCCCGTCCCTCAGCAACCAACTCCTCTCCTCCTCCTCCCCCTCCCCTTCTTACCTCCATCCCCTCCTCCTCCCACACATCTTCCTACAGTCCTCCTTCCTCTCTCCTCCTCCCACTCTCTTCCTCCTCCTCCTCCTCCCCTCTGTCTGGTGAGGGTCGGGCAGAACTGGCAGCCAGGCATCCAGGCCCAGTCTTGGCATGGTGCCCCTGGAGTAGAGCCTGTGAGGCTGGAGTACTGTAGGCAGTAGCCAGGCCCAGTGTGGGCACCTCAGAGCCTGACAGCTCACTCCCAGAGACATGCACCACTGGCAGAGGCTGGCAGAGGGGGATGGGCAGCGCCAGCCTGCTATCTGCATGTGAGCCATACCAGCAGAGGGGGCATGACAAGGTGAGAGGCTGGCACTGCGGTACTCTGCAGCTCCTCCTCTCCTCAGGGCTGCCACCAGACCACCCCCTCCCTCCCCAGAACACACCTGCTCAGGAAGAGGAACACTCTCCTAACTCATCCTGTAGCTTGTCAAAAATTGCAGGTATCAGATGGGGTTTTGTGTCCATCTGAGAATAGCAGACAGGTGGTTTAGCTTAGTTTCTTACTCACTGTAGATTAGACTTACTGATCAATTACAACAAGTCTTCACTTTCTACCATCTAATTACACAAGATCCATAAAAACGAACAGGGTTCAGTTGATAAAATGTCTCTCCGTAAACCGATGTTTGTGGGTCCTCATCAAGACAATATTTGGAGACTGAACACTGTGGTCATGGATTTTGAATTCTATGAGCATGTTAGCTCTATTGTTTAGCTGAGAGGCAGGGTTTTCTCCACTCGAGCTAAGAAAACCCCACACTGGTAAACTGTCAGTGTTTGTCTTAGTAACGGTGTTCATACCATAGCTTGATGAGGAGTATGAGAGGA